ATAAAGCTATTGAGATGAAAAAAAAACAATCGAGAAAAGATACACCTAGATGATAAAATGATTTTTTAAATTCCTTGATTTGTTAACACGTTCCACAGGGTATTTCAAACTTTCACCAAATAAATAAATAACGAATAAATAAATGCCTTTATTGTCAAAAAATTTTACAATTTGTAGACAAAGGTAAAGTAAACAAAAAAAAGTAAATAAACAAGGTACACAAACAAACAAACAAAACATAATACAAAACATTATACAAATAATATTGTCAGTCTTATTGTTTAAAATAAAGAAATAAACATTTATAAATGTGTCAAGAATAAAGAAATAAAATAAATATTCAAAAATGTTTATTGGTTAGATATCAATGACCTCTAAATAAATTTATTTCGGTGTCTGTTAGTAAATATAATAATAGCAAACATTATAGACCAGTGTTTACAATCAAGAACTGATTATCAAATTGATTCATTTGACGTGAAAAACCAGGTGGATGGCACTTCTTATGGGAGAACTGGAAATGGTTGAAAGCTTGACTACAAGCGATTTTCTAGTAATCTTCCTTACCGATAAATTATTGACAAGAGTGACAGACCTTGACGTTCTTTCAGTATTCCAGTTCATCTCTTTTTTCTTTCTAAAGTGTGCGTTGAAAGGAGACAAAACAATTTTTGGTGACCCATAATTTGTTATTCGAACACCACTTTTCTCCTTGTCGGGTCGTTGACGTTGACTTGTCGCCATTTATTTCTTTTGTTTACACGCTGCATTTGCTTTACCATTAAGCCATAAGTGAAGGCAAATATAGGTTTTAATAAAACTCCTCGGACTAACATGTGAGTAAGTGTTGTTTTTTTTTTTCATCTTAACATGTTCATTGTCATTCTCCTGATTTAGGTGACTGAAAAGGATCATCAAATCAACTTGAATTTTATATTTTCCTTCTATTTATCCTTCTAAATATCAACGAGATAAGCCATAGGAAGAAAGGGACCATGGTACAAAACAGAAAGGTGATCTTTTTTCTTTCCACTTCGGATAATGAAATTATTATATACTGTAGTCGTGTTCAGCATTATGCTCTGAGAAATATAGATAAACAAAAAAGAACAACAGATATACAGCATCCCAGAGGAGAAGAGAGGCAATACCTGTATGTACTCTCTCTCTGATATTTGTGAAAATTACAGCAAAGTATTGTTATAAACGTCATCTTTTTGATCGAACTGAAAACTTAGAGCAAAAAGATGACACTTCAACAATACCCTGACAGATATCAGAGACGATACAGGTTTTCCTCTCTTTTCCCCTGGATTACACATTTATTATTATTCTTTGTTTATCTAGATTTCTCAGAGCACTATGAACAAACTCAGCTTGTATCATTTGAAATAATCGTCGGATTGGCTTAAAATGATGATCGAAGACATTTCCCATATAATTTACTTTCAAAATTATGATATATCTTTTATTCCTAAGCCATCTGACATATTTTTTCCAGTTTTGTTATAATTAATTTTGTCTCTTGATCTACTTGTAACATTATTTTTTAATTTATTAATTTATTGTGGTGAAATTAAGTTCTGTTGTATATTTGATATTGATATTGACATATTTTTAAATATGGTGTATTTTTTGTGTTTTTTGTGTATGTCATGATTAAAATAAAATAATTTTTTTTTTTGGCTTCCATAAAAGCTGCGTAATTTGGTCATCTGGTTCCTACAAGCGAAAGTAGACTTGTCAACAGTGTCAATTTTAAACGTCAATTTCACTTTCCAATATTTAGCAAGGCGCTCGCACTTCTTCTTGTGTATGTGTTTTGTGTAGAAAACCTTGTCTAGAGTTCAATCTTTGGTTCAATGCTTTGCGAAATGAAGAAACTTATGTTATGGATTTGATTTCAAATGACAGGTGATTGTGCATTTTTTTCGAGTTGTATAATATTGAACTTTTAACTAACTCTGAGCGTGGGGTAGTTAGATAAAGATCTTGCTCCGCGTTCCTGTGTGGATAAGTGTGATATGGCTTTTCTTGAGAAGCTGATACGGCAATCGTATTATTAGGCAAACGTATCCAAATATAAATAAGGAAGGGAGAATCAATATTTTGGTACTTTTACTGAAGTCTGTAATGGTTCTTAACTCTTGAAGATCCCAGTGAATATCGAACAGCTCTCTCTGGAGCTCGAAAATCTCGGATTAAAATTAGATTGCACTAACCCTTGGAATGGAAGGGCATATCTGAAGGGGTGCTACTCAAAAGTATAATAAACAGTTCTGCCACTGACAAGTTAAGCTCCTTAGAAACAGGTCTTAATGCAAAACAGGCAGGGCTCAATTTTTTCGACAAAGCCTCGATATGCATGTCCCATTTCCGAGAATGGTCTACAACAAGCCCTAAAAAATTTTAGATTTTAGGACGTTAATGGTGGTGTTGTTAAGTACCTACAAAAGGCTGCAGCGAGTTTTTATAAGACAAAGCTTTAGTTTAGAAATGTTGAGACTCAGGAGGTTTGAATTCTGTTGCTCAGATACGACAAACCATTCGAGAGATGTTCCTCTGAACCCATAGTGCTGCAATTTATTAATTAGGATCTTGTGATTTACACAGTCGAACTTTGAAAAATCACAGAAGAAAATTGTTGCTGTGAATGATAATGAAGTGGTTATTTAGGCTGGAGTAAGCTTTATTAAGGAGGGAAAACATGGCGTCATTTGTGGACTTGTTGTTGAGAAATCCAAATTGATGTTCATTAAGTATTTTGTACTTAAATAGAAAAAGATACGAAAGCCTTCTTTTAACCAACTTTTCTATGATCTTAGATAGCGTTGGAAGGAGTGCAATTGGGCGATAGTAAGAAGCTTCATCTTTGTCTCCTCCTTTATGCAGAGGAGTGATTATTGCCGTTTTATTGATATTTGGGAAAAATACCATTTTGGAATGACATGTTAAAGTAGTTGGTGATTCAGGGGCCTTTCACGGCAGATTCAAAAACACTAAAGTTAGCCCGTTGGTCCCAGATGAGGATTTATTTTGATGGTATTAATTGTACTGCGAAGCTTTTCTAAAACTACGGACGAAAAAAAAAGAAACTGTGTAAATTTACATTATCATTAGAGAGATATGAAACTGGATCATGAGAAGGACATATGGTATTAGTTAAGTTTTCGCTACATTTACAAAGTAATCATTAAGGTTCTCAGGTGAGGTAGAGATATTGCTAGACGAAGAAGCTTTGTTTCTCAAATCATTCACAATAGACCATGTTTCTTTAGCAACATTACCAGAATTTATTATTCTCCTATTATAATAAGGTCCTTAAAACTATAATTCTCGATAGATTTTTCTGTATAGTTTCACGTAATTGTGGAAGAAGACACTGTCTGAGGAATTTTTTTAAGTGAGATAATGAACGCATGTTTTTTAGAAGATATGCGTAGACCTTTAGTGATCCAAGGTTTATTATGCTTATTTTGATGAGTGGCCTTAGAGGAAAGGATTTGAACGCTAGGCTGGTTAATGTTTTTACGAAAATAGATAATTCGTTGTCGTCATCATAAGACCGAGCGAATATCCCAGTTGGTTGTTTTACATAAGTGGCTGAAATTTTGAGCATTCTTCTCTGAAAAAATACGGCATAATTTACGAGGGCATTTTTGATTTTGGACTTTATCGAAACTTCAGTTAAAACTGCTTTATGATCAGAGAGATGGAGTTAGGCAATGGAGTTAGGATCAAAAGATGATACAACATAGTCTATAGTACTAGAACTAGTTTTGGATATTCTGGTAGTTGAACCTATATGCATGGCTATTCTAAAAGAATCAAAAATGGACTGAAGAAACTCCTGAGCAGCACATACACTAAGAAAGTCAATACTAAGATCACCACACAAAATTAATTTGCTTTTTAAGGGCAGGGACTCAAGCAAGTTTAGTAGATTATGACAGAATAATTACACGTCAGAGTCTGGGTGTCTATAAATAAATAATGTAAAGGTCACAAGCATTATGGTGGACAATGGAAAATTCGAATACTTTTCAGATAACAAATCATTGTACCTAGTTACCTCGGAAAAGTCGTTGTTTAAAGACATTATCATAGTACCTCCATGAGAAAAATTTGTTCTATTAAATCTGGCCACTGTGGTATAATTTTTAACAAACACAGGCTCAGAAAAATTTAACCAGTGCTCAGTTATGGCAATGATATCTGGAAATGTATATATCAAAAATATCAACATTTTGTTTTACCCCGTATAATTGACATATGGAAACTTTCATTTTTAATTTAGAAAAATATACTAAAAAGTCAAATAATTTAGCTTAAAATTGCTTAAAAATCATCAAAATCAGCCTACTAGAACAAAATATATTAAACTTGAAAATACATGAAAATTTTAAGGTGCCCGGTTTTCGTGCCGGTAGCGGTGGTTCAGTTCACTTTTAATTAGGTTAGTTAGTTCAAAAACTAAATTATCAAATAATGTATCTATAAGCAATTCTTGAAGAATAAGTTAAAGAAAAGAAAGTATTTTAAGTTAAGGTCTCTTTGCTGCTAAGACTAATATGGCCGCGATCCTAGGCTCTATCAGTGTCAATGGCCTACCGACTTAGCGAGTGTGTAAATCGACTCTTACTCACAGGATATCCAATAGCGTGAGCGAGTAATGTGTGTCAATAGATTTGACACCCTTGCCATGGAATAACAACACGACAGAGTTTCCAGACAGTTATCCGTCCATCTACTCGCATCGTCTAACGTCGCTTAACTTCGATAATCTATCGGGAACCAGTGTTTCGACATAGCTGGGCTGTTGCCCGAAGAATAAGAGAGAGTTAAGGTTGTCAATTTACTTTAAAATTAAATATAGATACTTATGCCATCCATATGCTAAAAACTTTAAATGCTTAATATTCCCCTTCTTTAAAGAATATTATTAAAAGAAAATAAAATGCTTTTACAATGTGTAGCGTATTTCTGATATAAAAACTTACAAATTCTTTTTCTGCTTGGTCCACTGCCGCTGAGTTTCCTTTTGAGCTTTCCATCCGTCAACGATTTTTTCCGCTTTTGAGTCTTATCTCCTCCAAGAGATCCCCTTCGACTTCCATTCCCATTTTCAGTATCCTGTTTCTCGATATTCTTAAATGTTTCTCTAATGTTGTTTTCAACTTCTGTATTTTCTTTTTCGGTGATTTCTTCTTTACTATCGTTTTCCTTTTTCAGTAACTCGCGACCATCGATCAAAGATTTTTTGCGCTTTTGAGACTTTGATGCTTCTTCTCCAACAGATTTGTTTCGGTTTCCGTTTCCGTTAATAGTAGTTTGTGGTGTTAGGAGTTCAACGTTTTTGAAAGTTTCCTTTATATTGTTTTCATCTATTTTACTTTCGTTTCCGCTGCTTTTTTCTTTTTCCTCTTTAAATGAACGTTTCAGATTTTCTTCTACATATTTCGTGTTAGTTTTGATCTTCTTTGCCTCGCTGTCTGTGTCATCAAGGGAACCGCTACGACTTCTCTTACTCATCGCGATATATTATGTTGCTTGTCCGAATGCACAATTCGAAATGAAATAAAATTAATATCTAAATACTAAAAAGCCGCAAGTAAATACGTTTTAATATACAACAAATACCCTTTGACGAAGTGGCACGTCTATAAAAGCGAAGTTAATCCTTATAAATATAAATTATATTGAAGCACCCGACCAAACATAATATTCGCACATTAGCGAAATATCTTTTGTACGCAGGGAGCCAAAATAATGGAATAATGGTATCCGATAAAATAATAATATATTTTTAGTAAATAAAAGTTAAAAAAAGGAAGTTAAAATTTGCTAAAGACTTTAAAAAATTAAATATGAAAATGAAACATTCTATTTTAAAAAGTTAATTATCTCTGTATGTTCCTAACGTTTTTACTTATTGGGTTAGCCAGATATTTAATTTTACAAAAACGGCATAATGTCATACATAATTCGTACCGAGTATTTTTTGAAATACAACCGTTTTTTTTCGTTTCAATTTTCTACATATTATACAGGGTGTTCCTTAATGACATGCTAATATTTAAGGAAGTGATTCTTGGACCTATTCTAAGAAAAAAAAACTTCATATGAATATGTCCTAAATATCTTAACTTTTTAGATACAGGGTTGTAAAATTTTCAATTTTTTTTTCAAAATATCTTTGATGGTATATTTGATACACGTCTTCCACACGTCAAAATGCTTCTTTTGATATACAAAAAAATTGTTTCATTTCTTAATTTCCTTTCAGCAGATGCAGATGTGAACAGTCACCGCGTCACATTTTCAGCGATTTAATCCTGAAATAAACTGACTTTATTTTTTTAAGCAAAAACTAAGAATCGGACGAAAAAAATCAAGAGACAGAAAATGTTTAGAAATGAATGGAGATTTTGAAAATAATTTTTATTTTAAGAGAAGTCAGTGGTGTAACACTTTTTTCTGCAAAAATATTAAATGTAAAACCCTTTTTTCGTATGGACGGCACTGGTTGAAATAAATAAAATTCTTTGTACACCAAAAAAGGTATTTTTATGCATAGAAAACGTGTATCAAGTTTCATAAAGATATCTTAGAAATTAAGGTGTTTAGGACATACATTCATATGAAGTTTTTCTCTTAGAATAGGTCCAGAAATCACGCCCTTAAATGTCATTAAGGAACACCCTGTATATTTAACAGGTCTCTCAATACTGTAACATTAGGTATAACAAACAATATAGTGGGAATAACCCTGGACAGTAAACTTTTGTGGAACAGGCACATTAATAACATTACCAGAAAAGCCACAAAGGCTCTCATGATATGGAAAAGAAATACCACTCCTCCAACTCTCAGTGGATGACATGACTATGGAGGCTAGAAGGAGGAGGCGAATCGACAATGGGCATATTTGAAATTTCTGTCCCTACTTTAAAGCAAGTTTCTCGGTTTGATACCAGAGGCACTGTAAGTGGGTTAGATTGATCATTTGCATTGTTAGAATACGATTTAACTGTGCTTTTACTAGTTTTTTTTAAATTTATTGTTATTTTATTGAACTATTAGCAATGTAACAATGAGTGTGATTAAAAAAAAATCTATATAATAGATCTTGCTTCGTACGTGGCTGTATAAGTGGGACTTACAGTGGAAAAAAGGCAAATAAAGAACGGGGTGAAAGAAACCCAAGCCTTTTCAAAGGTCCTAATGTAAGTGGTATAACTATTTATTTTAAAAAATATGGGTAGATTAAGATTTATAAATATGGATAGCTGTTAAGATTGTTAAGATGTTAATTCTGAAAGTTTGCATAAAAAATTGTTAAAATATGTTTTAGGAGTTGAAATTCGTCCCCTAAGGGGATGTATTGACGAATAAATTGAGTTCATTATTTATTCATTAATATTTTATTTACAAAAATTTACCTTTACAATTATTAGGTGACGTTGAATATAATACATCTTGAATATAATTGTCTACGAAACAGTGACAATTTGCAAAACTTTGCTAATGACATTAAAACATAAATTCAGAAAATCTAAAGAAAAAACACTATTGGACACAGGAAACATTTCAGCTTAATGTACCTATTCTCTGGTTTCAGCTATAAAAAGTTATGGGATAGATAACACTGATCAAAGGGTGCAACAGTAGTGTTCATCTTCACTTTCCATTGAAGTTATTCCTGATAAAATACTTTTAATTTTCGTGATTCAGTTTCTGTCAATTGCGGTACAACCACTAATAGTTTGTTACGAAAGTTTTTAATGTTTATTAAAATGATATCACACTGAACTGCATGTAAACATATCAATTTCAAATGTTTTTATGAAAAACTATTAAAAAATCACTAACACAATCACACCATAAACTATTTAATTCGCATTTGTCATCAAGAAACAATTACTGTTTACATCAAATCAAAGGTTGAACTGGTGATATTTGTTGCTGGAATCTTTTTTGTACAACAGTTATAGGGAAGATTTATTTTAGCAGCTTATATTTTTCTTCGGTCGTGTATGCATTAAAAAGAACCATATAATGAAATAATTTTATAATAACAACTTAGAAAAAGAATATCTAAAACCGGCATCTGATATAACCTAACTTCTAACTTACTTTCAAACTCAAATTTAAGGTTTTGTATTCACAATTTTAGCCACGCACGTTGTTCAATTAGAAAAAACACGTTTCTAAAACCTAAATTTGGTAAAAATATGCCCAAATATTAACTGAACTCTATAATTTATAACAAAATAGTAATTCTTGCCATAAGAAGCTGTGTATTTCTCAATCTATGGGATCACATGCGCCCCTAACGGCGATTTTCGAACTTCATTTAGATCTCAAAAACTGGGCCCATACTTTTTGCGTTCGATTCGCCTCCTCTTTCTAGCCTCCATAGACATGACATACCAAGAATGTAAAACTTTGGGAAACACCTCAATATAGTATTGTGCAATAAAAAGAATTGGAAGAAACGTTTGCTCAGCAGTTAATAGACCATACCATAACTTGGTATGCTGATGCTTCCAAAACCAATGCAGGAACAGGGATCGGAGTATTTGGGCTGAGAATACTCCGAACTAAATACTAAATAGCTAAATACTCCGAACTAATGGGCACCTTCCCTAGCATCCTACAGGCAGAAATCTACGGTATCAAAAGATGCGTACACCTTATCTTAGATAGGAACTATCGAAAACAAGAAATAGCCATCTTATCTGATAGTCAAGAAGCGTTAAAAGCGATCAACTCAGTATCAATCAATTCGAAATTGGTCAAAGAATGCATAGAGAAGCTGAACAAATTAGGCAAAGAAAACAAAGTCCTCCTACTCTGTGTGTCAGCTCACCAAGGGATAGAAGGTAATGAGAAAGCAAATGATCTAGCTAGAAAAGGAGCAAACACTCCACTAATTGTACCAGAGCCGTTCTGCTTTCTAAGCGGAAACCAACTGAAAACGGAACTCAAGAACTTGAAAGACTCCACTCGTAACCTGGAATGGGAATCCTGCAACGGTCTGAGACACTCGAAGAAGTTTTAAAAAATAAATTAGTTAAGTGTTTTATCGTGAGTTTGAATTAAGGACCCATGGAATCCGTAACAATATTATGTTCATTGTGTTGCTTTGTATTTTACTTTACATGTTGTTTGTTATAGTTTTATTTTAGTTTGTATAATATATTGAGCCGTTTTTAATGATATGCTACAATTGTATTTTTTATACAAAATGTAAGGAAGTGTAAAAGGAAAACAATAAGCTCATTTTTAAGCTTATAAATTATTTTTCACGAGAAAGGGACACTGGTAGAACATACTTGCGCATGCCGTAAATGAAGTAAATAAAATGCAAAAGTGTAATATTCCTACGTAAAATACAAATTGATAACGTTTTTAATACAGTGAGTGCGGATATGCTGATGCTTTAAAAATAGGAATTTCAACAATCCAGAGGATTGGAATTAAAGGGATCTTAACTGATGAAGAGTTCAAGAAAAAATGAATAAATTCCGATAGTAAATGAAGCAAGGTATTAAAGGTATTGAGTTAGCAAGGTATTGAAGCACAATTTATTGTTCGATTTTGTAGATGCCTCGAAAGTATAAGCGCAAGTCTGACAGAGAAGTCGATGAACTAATGGTAAAAAATGCAATTCACTCCTATTTTACAAAAGCATGTGGCCTTAGGGAGGCGGCAAGAATATTTAACATCAAAAGAACAACTTTGCAATCCAGAATTAAGAAAATTCGAAGCCGAAAACCTGATGACGAAATAAGAAGGTAGCTGGAGGATTCCGGAAATGAAAGCGATATTGATGAACCTTCCAGTAAGTTCGGCAATAAATATACAGTTTCAGGAATCAAAGTAGCAGATTCTTCTGATGGTAGCGAGTCGTTTATGTCTTTAAAAGATATCAGTGAGAATATTTCTGTTAGTGACTTTCTACTCGTCAAATTTAAAAAATCGAAGAATGACGTTTGTTTTTACATAGGACAAGTCCTCGAAATTGATGATGACTCCTATCAGGTAAAGTTTTTAAGGCGACAAATAAATTCAAGCAGCTTCCACTTCCCGATTATTGATGACATATCACTGGTGCAAGTTAATGTTATTGAGGCTAGGCTTGCACAACCATAAAAGGCTGGAACTGCACGAACCCAATCCCTGTTCCGATTCAATTATAACTTTTAAGGAATGGATGTTCGTTAAAGCCTATATTGTTATTCACAATACTTTTGTTTTGTATTCAAAAACCTTTCATTTTGTTAAATTTAGGTTATTGACTTTTTGCACTTAATAATGTGCTAATAAACTTATATTTTGTACTACTTTTATACCTAGGCCGAATTCTCCCTTGGTGCTGGCCGAATCTGCCTCCGGTGGTGGAGGGTTCGGCCAAATTGTTGACTTTTTTTTGTTATTGCCCAAAATCCTGAAAATAAGTTTGTGTCACTATTTTGGTTTCTTATAGTCTTAGAAATGTCTAAAAATTATGTATCAATACAATCAATATTTAACAAAAAATATGGG